TTTTGAGACTGAGTTTCACTCTTGTTGCCCAAGCTGGAGTGCAATGGCACAATCTCGGCTCACTGCTACCTCTGCCTCTTGGGTTCAAGTGATTCTCCTGTCTCAGCCTCCCAAGTAGCTGAGATTACAGGCACACGCCACCATATCCAGCTAATTTTTTTGTATTTTTAGTAGAAACGGGGTTTCACCATGTTAGCCAGGCTGGTCTCGAACTCCTGACCTCATGTGATCCACCCGCCTCGGCCTCCCAAAGTGCCGGGGTCACAGGTGTGAGCCACTGCACCTAGCCCACAATGTCCATTTTAATTTTGTACATTCCATTCCTAGTTTTGTTGTAGTGTGTGCGTGTGTGTGTGTGTTTGCAGAATTACAGTATTAGTACATAGACCATTTTTTACTGGGTACATTTTATCATAGGTAAATTTTACCTCAATAAAGTTGAATAATAATTAAAAACACTTCAACACATATTATTTTATCATGCTTTATTTTACTTAATGCTTTCTAATGTTGCTATATAATTTTTCTATAATACTGCATAATTTCTCAAACTTACACACTATAATCATTCCCCTCTTGTTGGAAATTTAGGTTGTTTCTAATATTTCACTATTGTAAATGACACTACAAGAAACATCTTTGAGGTTATATGTGCTTTCTTTTGTTAAATTATTTCTTAGGGTAAATTTCTAGTTGTGAGATTAATTCCACTCAACATTTACAATATTTGCTAAGTATGAAGGCAGTATTTTACTATGGCCTTTTTAGGTCTGGAAGAAGCAGAGAATACCATTTTACTTTTATTTTGTAAATAGAATAAAATAATAAAATTTATGGTAATATCTTTCCCACTATAAAGTGCCTATTTTGTCTCTCACTGCCCCCCCTTACCTTAAAAAGAAAAAAAGTATGTCTTCAGTTTCATTTACCTTTAAATTAGATGAAGTGTTTGAGGCTATTGGCAAATACCTTTCTAAGAAACAAAAAGGATATTTTAATATCCAGTAAGGTCTCTCTTTCCATTTTCCTGTCATGACTCTATTAGTAACCCCTATATCACTCTGAAATTTTCATAACCAAATATGGAGGCTTGTTATAGAGTTTGTAGTATTAGTCTGTGTGAGCTCAGAGATATTTTAAGTTAAGCCATGCCCTGAACAACTTTACTTAACAAAATTCATTTCATTCTGAAATTTCAAGTCAAAATGGTATTCTGCTTTCACCATATTCCAAGTTCTCTTATTTTGTGCTGTTCCTATATTAGATGAGCTATGTGGCTTGATAGCCATTGCAGACACAGTGAAGCCTGAAGCAGAACTGGCTGTCCATATTCTGAAATCTATGGGCTTAGAAGTAGTTCTGATGACTGGAGACAACAGTAAAACAGCTAGATCTATTGCTTCTCAGGTAATTGATAGGGGTATGTGATAACTTCTAATTCTTGATATACATTTTATGTCTTGCCTTCAAATGCTAAGAAATTTACATTACCTACTATTTTCATTATCACTGAGTAGTCCTATTTGGTTCCTTCAAGAAAATTTACAATGCTTTGCTGGAAGGACTTTGGGCTTTGTGTGTTACTGTTATAAGTAAAAAGGTATTTGCTTAGTTTATGGGATTCTTGCGTGACACTGTACACCAGCTCCTGTTGATGCGTCCTTTGAAATGTTGCTCATATTCTTTACCAGTGCTGCTAGCCTAAGCTAGGCTCTCCTGATCTCATGCCTGAAACATGGAAATAGCTCCACACACATCCCTCTCTAGTCCATCCTATACACCACCGATGGAACTATTTTTCTAATGCACTACTTTGACATGCCATTTTTCTGCTCCTGACTCCCACATTTGCCTTACCTCTAAAATTTTTCAATCTTTTTAACTTTCGAATGCCTTCTCCCTTCTTCTAATAAATGATGGAAGTAATGTATTAATGCATTCTTGTGTAAAAAATACAGAAGGATATAAAGTAAAAGTGTTGTCCTTTTTTCCCCATGCTCTCCGTCCAGTCCTACTGACCCCCACACTGCCACTTTTTCATATGCACATATGTGCATATACAGAGTACATATACAGTATAATTCTGGTCTTTTCAACATCAGATCATTTTGAACAGATTGTTTAGTAGTTTGCTTTTTTTACATAACAATATACTTTGGAGCTTCATCCATATCTGAACATAGAAAGTTATTTTGGCAGGGCATGGTGGCTCATGCCTGTAATCCCATCACTTTGGGAGGCCAAGGCAGGCGGATCCCATGAGGTCAGGAGTTGGAGACCAGCCTGGCCAACATGGTGAAACCCATCTCTACAAAAATACAAAAATTAGCCAGCGTGGTGGTGCGTGCGTGTAATCCTAGCTACT